CTTAAATACTGTCTATGTGAGAAATATCCAGTTTATGTTGGTTCCTGTAACCAACTTTCCACACTAACTTTCAGACAGGCATTCATAAGAAATTCAGTAAAAGACCTCTAAAAAATTCTGCCTTGCTGCTGACTATGTGCACACAAATGTGTGTGTTGTGTATATATCTTGGTAGTTGGGTCGGTTATCTAGTGAATAGTTGCATTCAAGGAAGAATAAATATTGAAAATGGCTATACTTTTGCCCCAGATGAACTTGCTGCTACTCGTTTGGAAGGAACAGTTGCAGGCATGTGTTCACAGAATATGAACATGAGGTGCAGAGTCACGGTCTAGTTATTCCACAGCAGATGATTTTTATGGACACTGATAGTCAGAGCAGGAAAGGAGGAGGGGGAAAAACACTAAAATAAAATGTATGATGAACTATTAATGAGAATGTTTTCTTAATCAGCATTAAAAAAATGCATCTATTTAAAGCTGAAGCTAGTGTTGAAATACACAGTCCTGAAGGGAACCTTACTTCAGGTGGAATGTAGTAATATACCCTGCTCACTACTGTCACACATCTATGCTTTTAATACTTGTGCTAAGATTTTAGATAACTGCTGTCATGATTTGTACCTCATAACTACACATTTTGCAGATGGCTTGTGGCAAGAAGGAACGGTACTGCAACACTCTCTATACTTCCATCAGGGGAGGATATCAGAATGAGCTTAGGAGTCCTTCATGCCTATATTTTTATATAAATATATGTGCAATTTTACTCTGTATCTTTTCAGCTTATGGAAAAAACTGACAGAGAGTATTACACCCTGGATGACATGTTTGTTTCCAAAGCAGCAAAAGGAGAGCGTAGTGGGGAAGAGGAAGAAAGGCAAAGAAGAAAAGCAATTCACGAGCACCAGCGGCTTGCTGCAGCCATGGAAAAGTGCCCGTATTGTTTTGATAGCAATGAGCTTTCTAAACATCTTATTATTGCGCTTGGCACCAAGGTAAGAAAATGGCAGTTCAGCACAGAAGTAAAAATAAAAAGGAATCAAGGAAGGCAACGTTAAAACTGAAATACCCAAGATTATGGATAGAATCATTTATTTGAAATGATTTATGGCAAGTCTAAGGCAAATAGGATGCAGTCAATTAATTTCAGCAGCTCCTTAAGGGCAAGAGAGAAAAAGGTATGAGTCTGTTATGAACAATAAAGTTTAACTTTGATACTAGAACTTTAGTTTTGTGGAAGGTAGAGAAGCAGTGATGAAACATCTGAGTGCAGGGATTAGTGTGTAGGTGGATTTGTGGAAAATCAAATCACATGGCACAGGAGGAAGTTTAACCTGGTTAAGAAATGTGCCTCAGTGATACCAAAGAAAATTCAGTAGAGAATTCCATTTTTAAGCCTGAAGGTCTTTGGAAGGGAAGTGTTTTGTACAGGAAACCTGCTTGTCTCTGTTGGTAGTTGTACACATTTTTCACTTGATTTAAAAACATTTTATAAGCTAAGGAATTAAATACATAACTGTAAGTTTATTTAAATGCAAGCTTGTTGTAATAGACTAAACAGTGATTGTTTTGTAATGATTAGGTTACTGACTGGTCTAAAAGCCTTGCTGCTGCCTTGTCAGTGGATCTGCTATGTGGATACTGCTACAACATTGGAGCTACTGTTGGATAATGCCAAATGTCCACGCAGAGTGCTTAGGATTTTCCATGCTCAGTGCTACCATTGGAGCTAAGATTGCTTGGGATTTTTGCTGGATATGTTTTAGTAGTTGCTCTGTTTAGGGTCTTACATTTCTAATGGAGTTCTTTAGCAATTAGAGTGTCTAGGCAAACAACAAAAATAAAATTAAATAGGTTAAAAGTCTTATTTTTAAATGGTAAGATTACTGTTACCTTGTTGTAATTAGAGGATGAAGGCTTTAATTTGAATGTTACCAAAATAATATATTTCTTTCCATTGCTAAGGCTGAATTCGAGAAAAAAGAGCACTCAATTTATGTCTCCTCTTTGCAGGTTTACTTGTCTCTACCAAGTGGTCAATCCCTCACTGAAGGCCACTGCCTGATAGCCCCTTTACAGCACCATACTGCAGCCACTCTTCTGGATGAAGACATCTGGGAAGAAATCCAGGTCAGAGA